GACTGGGAAAATAATAGCATAATACTTATATACACTACCGGTCAAAAGTTTTAGAACACCTACTCATTCAAGGGTTTGTCTTTATTTTTACTATTTTCTACATTGTAGAATAATAGTGAAGACATCTAAACTATGAAATAACACATATGGAATCATGTAGTAACCAAAAAGTGTTAAACAAATCAAAATACATTTTACATTTGAGATTCTTCAAATTGAGAATGCTAAGAGTGTGCAAAGCTGTCATCATGGCAAAGGGTGGCTATTTGAAGAATCTCAACTATAACATATATATTTTGATTAGTTTAACACTTTTTTAGCTACTACATGATTCCATATGTGTTATTTCATAGTTTTGATGTCTTCACTATTATTCTACAATGTAGAGAATAGTAAAAATTAAGAAAATCCATTGAATGAGTAGGTGTTCTAAAACTTTTCACCAGCAGTGTATAGATATTAGTTCACTCAGTAAATAGTCAACACAGATCAACACGGACCTACCACAGGCACTAAATGGTTAACACAGTTAACAGTCAGTTATGAAGAAGACGGCCAGCAATCGCAAAATAAGTTGAATTTCGATATTCTTTTAAAACTAGCAATCACATGGATGTGTTTCGGACAGCCAGTCAGTCAGTTAGACAGATGCTGCTACAGTGGGCTCAGGCTCAAAGTTTGCTCGGCTGAGGGGTATTTTGGCAACGCTACACATTCCATATCAATTCATTACCGGCTCATTTCACGGCCCATGAATCACTGCGTTGGCATTTTGGGGGGACTGGGGGGCTGTGTTGGGGGGGGGGGGGGGGTGTTCAGTTTTGATTAAGCCTGTTTATTGGACTGTAATGTTGTAAACACCTATCCTGTTATTGTGATCTATCATGCTGTTCTGTTCTGTCACTGTGTGTTTAGAAGCAGGATAAATATGTGTGTGTCAGTGAGTGGATTCTTTCCAGGCTGCTCCCAGCTAATGTGGGTCTTTCTCTCTGTGTATCTCTGTGTTTCTCTGGGTGTGTATGTTTCTGTACCCCTCTCTTTCCCATTCTCTGTCTCTATGCATGTTTCCCTGTGTGTGTGTGTGTGTGTGTGTGTGTGTTTGTGTGTGTATGTGTCTATTCTTCTCTCTGTCTGTGTGTTTGTGTTTCTCCTTGTCTTTGTGTGTCCCTGTCCCTGTCTCCCTGTCGGTGTCCCCGTACATGTCTTTATGTATCTCTGTCCATTTCCCTGTCTCTTGTATTCCTGTCTCCCTGTCTCTGTGTATCTCTGTCCATTTCCCTGTCTCTGTGTATTCCTGTCTCCCTGTCTCTGTGTATCTCTGTCCATTTCCCTGTCTCTGTGTATTCCTGTCTCCCTGTCTCTGTGTATCTCTGTCCATTTCCCTGTCTCTGTGTATTCCTGTCTCCCTGTCTCTGTGTATCTCTGTCCATTTCCCTGTCTCTGTGCGTCCCTATCCGTGTCCCTCCAGCGTTTGTGACCCTGCTGAACGGTGACCAGGCTCAGGATGCCATCCACTCCCTCCACCAGAGCAACATGCGTGGCCGGGACATCACGGTGCAGCTCCAGCCCACAGACTCCTTGCTCTGCCTCACCAACCTGCCCCACACCTTCACCGCCCAGCAGCTGGAGGACCTGGTCCGCGCCTACGGAAACATCGAGCGCTGCTTCCTGGTCTACAGCGAGCTCACCGGACACTCCAAGGGCTACGGCTTCGTGGAGTACATGAAGAAGGACTCAGCGTCGCGGGCGCGGTCGGAGCTGCTGGGGCGACCTCAGGGGGACCGTGCGGTCATGGTCCAGTGGACAGACGTAAACCAGCTGACTGAAGGTCACCACCTCCACTCTAAGTGCCTCTGTGTGGACCGGCTGCCCCAGGAGTATGAGACGGAGGAGCTGACCCTGCTGTTCTCAGACCGCTACAAGCCTGTCTTCTGCCAGGTGAGTCCGAGGCAGAGTACTTATTTGTGATGCTTTCAAGTTCAACACCTCAACGGCCCCAATGCTGTGCGAATGGGGGGTTGCCGGGGTGAGGCCTGGTTACCGTGACACCAGCGTGACTCGTCTTTCCCTGCCTGCCAGCTCTTCCTAACAGAGCATCTCCACGTTCAACTCCTACCCTCCTCTTCCCCATCCCTTCATCCTTCCTTCTCCTCCACCCCTACGTCCCTCCATCCCCCTCTAACTCTCCACTCCCTCCCACACAGAAAACAATACGCCTACGTCATCAAAGTCCCATGATGGTTTGTGGGTGTTTGACTCATGTTTCCTAGCTGTTGCAGAGCCAGCAGGCTTTAACCTACGGTTCAGCATTGTGAGTGTGTGTGTGCACGTGTGTGTGTGTGTTGTGAAGAGATGAAAAGCTGTAGTTCTTCTCCTACACTCTGCCATTACCACAACATCTTCCCTAATGGTTTCTTCCACAAATCCCATTACTCCCAGAGATCTATGCATTGAGCTCCACTCCAAAGGCCTTGCTCCACCCCTATAGCCTTTAGCCTCATTCACAGTTCCACACTGTTCTCAGCCTTAGGCTCCTTTCCTATTCTAACTGTTACAAATGGTTTTACTCATCTCTCTGTCTACCCTCTCTAATCAACCCCCTATCAAATCCACACGTAGAAGGCCCTTAACTCCTATACCTTAACCCCTCCACCCCCACCCCCACCCCCACCCCCACCCCACTACCATACCTATGGAGTGCGCTAAGGGCCCTCCTCCACCCTAACCACTCTGATCTCCCTTAGTCTGCTGCCTCCCAAGGGCCCTTCTATCCCCTGGCAGCAGTGCTTAAAAGTGACTCAGCCCCCTTAAGTGATATCAGGAGCCAGGCTGAGAACGCCAGGGCCGTTAGAAAGCTATGTGTTAGCAGCAGGTAAATTACATTAGACAGAAGTCACTCTGTTTCTATGTTTCTCTCTCTCTCTATCTCTCTCTGGCTAGGGGCAGGAGAGGGCTCTCAGGCATGACAGTACGTTACATTAGTCATCACTGACAGTGATAAAGCAGGGTACCTGTGAGAGGAGAAGAGAGGAGTTAGGAGGAGTTGGAGAACTCAGTGACAGAGAGGTAAAGTGGTAAAGATGGGTGAATGGTGTGGGATGAGGGGAGTGAAGAGGAGGTACTCAGATGATTTATTTGGATACTGCACAGGCGCAGGTTTATAGCCAACACACACATACACACGCACAAACACACACGCACAAACACACACTGGATGGGTTCACTACTGTGCAAGGCACAGTGGAGCTGAACTTATACCTGTTTGCTAAGTCACACTAAAAAAAAAACATCAAAACCTTCTGTCACAAGTTGTCATTTTCATTCACACTTTTACACATATAATCACACCCTTTTCTCTTAGACGCTGGGACTCTCCTCCTCCGAGTGTCCTCTGTCCCAGCCTCTCAGTGAGTCAGTCTGTCCTCTGTCCCAGCCTCTCAGTGAGTCAGTCTGTCCTCTGTCCCAGCCTCTCAGTGAGTCAGTCTGTCTCTGTCCCAGCCTCTCAGTGAGTCAGTCTGTCCTCTGTCCCAGCCTCTCAGTGAGTCAGTCTGTCCTCTGTCCCAGCCTCTCAGTGAGTCAGTCTGTCCTCTGTCCCAGCCTCTCAGTGAGTCAGTCTGTCCTCTGTCCCAGCCTCTCAGTGAGTCAGTCTGTCCTCTGTCCCAGCCTCTCAGTGAGTCAGTCTGTCCTCTGTCCCAGCCTCTCAGTGAGTCAGTCTGTCCTCTGTCCCAGCCTCTCAGTGAGTCAGTCTGTCCTCTGTCCCAGCCTCTCAGTGAGTCAGGTGTGGCGTCTCCTCTGTCCTCTCAGTGACCGTTGTGACAGGAGGACCATGACCCCATTTCTATGGTCAGATCATGGTCACAGTACGGTCACTTTAAAGTCTTCAGTCTCACGTCTATAGTGACCAGGAGGTCTGCAGCTGTCACAGACTGACAACCAGTGCATTTGGGTTTATGTCAGCTTGATGAACACACACACACTTCCCCTAGACGGACTGACACCCAGGTCCTGGTGAGAGAACCCCTCTTGACCTCTGACCTCTGCTGAAGGGCTGACTGGAGTCCCCTGTCCTGTCACTCCTCATCTGACTGGCAAGTCACACCATGCATACTAGATGTGCTGCACATATGAATATATTCACACACACACACACACACACACACACACACACACACACACATACACACACACACACATACACATACACATACACATGCAGGCACGTGTGGACTCAAATGCACATACACAAACACACACACACACAAAGCACTCTCACTTTCACTTTCACACATACAAAGACAATCACAGACAAGCGCAAACACTCACACCAGGTATGCTGTGATATAATATACTGATATATATATATATATATATATATATATATATAATATATATATATATATTAACAAGTGACATCACCTGCTCAGTCTATGTCATGGAAAGGGCAGATTGTCACACCCTGGCTCTGGGACTCTATATGTTGAGCCAGGGTG